GTTTCCAAGGGTCATCAATGTCACAGCATATATGGGTAACTTCACTCCTTTTTATGGTTAAATAACATTCCATTGTATGGATAGATCTGGTTTTTAATCCATTCATTTGTTGATGAACATTTGAGCGGTTGGGGAAGACTTTTATATGAAGAATTTGGAACCCTATCTGTAGGGCTATTTTGTTTCCATGACGGACTTTTTAGCGCCTCACGACAAGGCATTTAACAAAACCAATAAGGCCAGGAATGGTGGCTCACACCTGTAATCCCAGCACTTGGGGAGGCCGAGGCAGGTGACATGAGATCAAAGAGATCGAGACCATCCTGGCTAACACGACGAAACCCTGTCTCTACTAAAAAAACAAAAAAAATTAGCCGGGTGGTGGTGGGGTGGCCTATAGTCCCAGCTACTCGGTAGGCTGAGGCAGGAGAATGGCGTGTAACCCAGGAGGCGGAGCTTGCAGTGAGCCGAGTTCGCGCCACTGCACTCCAGCCAGGGCGACAGAGTGAGACTCCATCTCAAAAAAAAACAAAAAGCAAAGAAACAAAAACAATAAACAGGCAGATCGCAGTGGGCTTATGCCTGTAATCCCAACACCTTGGAAGGCCAAGTACACAGGATTGCTTGAGCCCAGGAGTTTAAGAACAAACTGGTCAACCATAGCCAGGGCTCTATCTCCATCAAAAATAAAAGTCCCAGTGTTACAGCCAAGTGTGGTGGCTCACGCCTGTAATCCCAGCGCTTTGGGGGACTCGAGGCGGGTGGATCACAAAGTCAAGAGGTCGGAGACCAGCCTGGCCAAACATGGGGAACCCCCAAATCCTAAAAAATACAAAAACAAAAAATAGCCTGGGCGTTGGTGGTGCACGCTGTAGTCCCAATGCTACTCAGGAGCTGAGGGGCAGGAGAATCACTTGAACCGGGGAGGGCGAGGGGGAGTCGCAAGGGTGAGTAGAGAGTTGCACCACTGCACCACTCCAGCCTGGCGACAATAAACAAAGAACTCTGTCTCAAAAAAAAAAAAAAAAAAAAAAAAAAAAAGTATCCAGGTGTGGTGGTAGACTCTTGTAGTCCCAGCTTTCAGGAGGCTGAGGCAGGAGGATCTCTTGAGGCCTGGAGTTCAAGACCAGCCTGGGAAACACAGCAAGACCCCATCTCTAAAAAAAAAAAAAAAAGAGAGAAAGAAAAACACAAAATACTGGTGACATAACTTAGGCTTCTGGATAGAGTCCCACCTGAAGCTGATTTACTCCAAGACTCTTCAGCTCGACTTTGAGGAAAAAAAAACAAATTTTCTCCTCTGCTGTCACAATGTGCAATAATCAACACGGAAGATTTCTGTGGCCAAATGCATGGGGATTTCTCCCCAGCAACAATCAATCCATCGAGTCTACAGTGGATACACGCTGGGTGTCCTCTAATTCAGTTTATTTCCAACACTATCCACCCGGACAGAGTGTCAAACCCCACAGGTTGAGGGCTCAGTCCCATGAGCGTGTCCCCCCAACTTTCAATGCCAGTCACAAGCCCCTAGTTGCTTTAATAGTGCTTCTGACCAACTGACTATAAATCAGGGTTTCCATGACTCCCTCCTTGGGTTCCATTAATTTGCAGGAGCAGCTCTCCGCACTCAGGGAAACACTTAGGTTTACTGGCTTATTATAAAGGATGTCACAATGGATATAGCTGAAGGAAGAGGTGCACAGGGCAAAGCACGTGTGAAAGAGTGAGGAGCTTCCGTGCCCTGCCTGGGCACACCACCCTCCAGGAAGCTCCAAACTGGGATACAGACCAGACATATATTTTACAATATCACAGAGTCAACAAACACCCCTTTCACGCTTAGGCTAGTCAGAATAGCTTTTTGTTATCTGCAACTGAGTAGCTTGACTAATAAGAAGAACTTTCATTAAGCACAGTCTGAAGAGACAGCCAATTCTGAGGGACAAAGGCTGCAGGATTGAAGCGCGTGTTAACCACTAATACCTAGCCTAAAATTGCTGACCCTTTTACTATAATAGCATCTAAGGCCCCAAATAAACAAATCCAAACATCCTATACTTAAGCCACTCTAAGATTAATTCCACAGGGCTGAAAACAGTAAGAGCTTTGTTCTGGGTCAAACGGAAAGAGGAACCTAATACCTCACACTCAGATCCCACACTCTCAATCCAGTCACTAGCAATGAGAATCTGCAAACTGGGTGCAGTGGCTCACAACCATAATCCTAGCATTTTGGGAGGCCGAAATGAGAGGATCACTTGAGGTCAGGAGTTCAGGACCAGCCTGGGCAACACACGGAGGCCCTGTCTCTACAAGAACAAAATAAAATAATTAGCTGGGAATGGTGGTGCACATGTGTAGTCCTAGCTACTGAGGAGGCTATGGCAGGAGGATCCCTTGAGCCTAGGAGTTTGGGAATAGGGAGCTACACTGGCACCACTGTACCCCAGCCTGGGTGACACAGTAAGACCTTGTTTCTAAAAAAAACATAAATAGGTTGGGCGCAGTGGCTCACACCTGTAATCCCAGCACTTTGGGAGGCCAAGGCCGGCGGATCAACTGAGGTCAGGAGCTCAAGACCAGCCTGGCCAACATGGTGAAACCCTGTCTCTACTAAAAATACAAAATTAATCGGGTGTGGTGGCACATGCCTGTAATCACAGCTACTCAGAAGGCTGAGGCAGGAGAATTGCCTGAAACCAGAAGGCGGAGGTTGTGGTGAGCCGAGATTGCGCCACTGCACTCCAGCCTGGACAACAAAGAGCGAAACTCTGTCTCAAAAAAAAAAAAAATTAGCGAGGCGTGGTGGTGCACGCTTGTAATCCCAGCTACACCCGGGAAGCAGAGGTTGCAGTGAGCCAACATTGCACCACTACACTCCGGCCTGGGTGACAGAGCAAGACTCCGTCTCATAAATAAATAAATAAATACAATCTATATTCATCAATTGGTTAAAGAGACATCAAGAAGACAATTTTTTTCCTTCATGCCTCTGTATTGCAACTTATGCCAGTGTTTCTCATTTAAACCTTACAGCAATCCTATAAAATAGATAACAGAATGGTACGTATAGTAAGGAAACTGAAGTTCAGATAGGTTATGCTAGGTAACTCAGGAAAAATAGGTAGTTGAGCTGGGGCTGCAAGGCTGCAGGTTCTAAAATCTATGCTCTTCCTCTCAATTCCAAGTTTTGTCAGGACTTCAGCATATTCAAGAGTAAAAGAGATCATGGAAGTGGAAGCTGCCAAACCACCATTAGGCTATTATGACAACACTCAAAGTATCACCAGTAAAATGATGACTGAGGCAACTGAAAAACAAAGCTAGGGAAATGTGATGGTTAACTTCATGCGTCAACCTGATTGGGCTAGGGGATGCCCAGATAGCTGGTGAAATACTTTTGAGTGTGTTTGTGAGTTTCCGGAGGGTTTGCTTTCCTGGGCTTCCAGCTTGCAGAAGGCAAATCTCAGGACTTCTCAGCCTCTATAATTGTGTGACCCAATCCATCACAATAAATCTCTTTCAATATAGCTATACAGTTGACCCTTGAACAATACAGGTTTTAATTGTGCAGGTCCACTTACATGTGGATTTTTCTTCCACCTTTAGGACTTTTTTGAAACAGGGTCTTGCTCTGTCACCCAGGCTAGAGTGCAGTGGCACGATCTTGGCTCACTGCAGCCTCCGCCTCCTGGGTTTAAGCAATTATTGTACCTCAGCCTCCCAAGTAGCTGGGATTACAGGCGCGCACCACCAAGCCCGGCTAATTTTTTTTTTTTTTTTTAGAAGAGACTGGATTTCACCACATTGCCCAGGCTGGTCTCAAACCCCTGAGCCCAGGCAATCTGCCTGCCTCAGCCTCCCAAAGTGCTAGGATTACAGGTGTGAGCCACCATGCCTGGCTGGTATTTACATTTAAAATGTGAAACTGGGATTGTGGTGGCTCATACCTGTAATTCCAGCATTTGGGGAGGCTTTGGTTAGGAAGACCGCTTAAGCCCAGGAGTTCAAGGCTGCAAGAGGCTGCAGTGAGCTGTGATAGAACCACTGTTCTCCAGTCTGAGCAACAGAGAACCTGTCTCTAAGAAAAAAAAAACAAGTGAGATGCCTAGGTTAAAATCAGCAGAGGAGAAGCCAGAGTGAGGAGAGGCAAATGAAGAGAACGTTCAGCAAGCCAAATGAAAACAGTGTTTCAAGAAAGTGCAGCGATCAACAGCACCAGATGCTGCTACAGGACTGAGACCTAACTTAACAATGAATTTGGCCATCTAGAGATCACTGGTGGCTTTGACAAGAAGCCGGTTTAGTGGAGTGGTGGAGACCAAAGCCTGACTAGAGGCTCAAGGTTCAAGACTTGAAGGAGAAAAGGCACTAGTGAGGGTAGACTGAGGCCTCTGGTTGCAAACCGGAGGCGAGGAGGAGGTAACTGGAGGACAGGGAGGGTGAAGGGGGCTGCTTTGTTGTTCTTAAGATAGGCATTTTTTGGCCAGGCACGGGGGCTTACGCCTATACTCCCCACACTTTGGAAGGCCGAGGCGAGAGGTTGAGCCCACGAGTTCGAGACCAGCCTGGGCAAATTACGAGCTGTCAGTGTATCTTCAAAAAAAAAAAAAGATAATTTTTGTGCAAATAATAAAATAAATGCTGGAGTTCGGGGCCCATCTTCTGTCCGCATCTTCGTGATCCGGGCCGCGTACCCGACCTGGGGGCTGCGCCCCTGCCGAGGCCGGCGTGCTGCTGTCTCCCATCATAGCGCGGGATGGAAGCGCGCACGCGCAGACCTCGAGCGGCTGGGCGCAGGGCCCGCCCCACCGTCGAGTCCCGCCCCTCCCGCCCCCCAGCCCCGCCCCTCCCGCCCCCCTCCCGCTCAGAGCGCGTACGCACCGTCCCTAGAGCGCCGCCTCAAGGAGGACGGGAGCCTGGGCGCTGAGGGAGGGTTTAGCCCTTCGCTCCCGCGCTTCGCCGGAGGTCTCAGGCCACGGCCCGTCCCCACCTACCGAGTCTCGCAGAAAACAAGGTCTTCAGGCTGGAAACTGCGACGAGGGAAGCTGGCGCGTTCCTTGAACGCTTTTTCGGAGTCTGCGGATGATCACGGACCTGCGTTCGAAGATTGGCGGCACGTCGAGAACCGCACACGTTTTTTTTTTCCTTTTATGAGCGTAGTCGCGCGCGGAGGACCTTGAACGCATGCGCAGTCGTTCCTCTGTGACGTGACCCGCTGCCGGGTGGGAAATGTAGTTTTTACTTGGCACACCGCTCCGGCTCTTGTCGGAACCCTAATTTAACCAACCAAAGTGCTTGTGCGTTTTCAGCGTTTTCTCCCATTCGCCTAGACTATTTAAAACAAAATGCAAAAAAAAAAAAAAAAAAACCCAACTTGAAAACGAAGAGATTGCTGCTTGCTGGAGAGGAGTGGGTGCAGGTAATACAAAAACCGTACTTTCTGCGCAATTTTGTTGTGAACCTAAAAATGCCCTAAAAACTAAAGTCAATAAAGTCTATTGTTAAAAAATTAATTAAAAACAGGCCGGGCGCGGTGGCTCACGCCTGTAATCCCAACACTTTGGGAGGCTGAGGCGGGCGGATCACCTGAGTTAAGGACTTCGAGACCAGCCTGACCCACATGGTGAAACCCTGTCTCTACTAAAAAATACAGAAATTAGCCGGGCGTGGTGGTGGGTGCCTGCAATCCCAGCTACTTGGGAGGCTGAGGCTGGAGAATCGCTTGAATCCAGGAGGCGAAGGTTGTAGTGACCGGAGATTGCGCCATTGCACTCCAGCCTGGGTATCAAGAGGGAAACTCCATCTCAAAAACAAAAAACAAAAAACAAAAAAACAAGCAGACCTTTAGACCCAGAAATAGCACTTTTAGGGGGTCTTCTCAGGAAAGTATTAAGGATATGGACGTGCAATGGACGCATAGCCTCAATGGTATTTATCGAAATCCATCTTGGTATCTTATAATTTCTTACATAACCCTACAAATGTCTGTAATTATTTGTAGATTATTTGATAAACTTGCAAGTCCTATGAGATTAGGATCATCTTGTGTTCACCTGTGTATTCCTAGTACCTAGCACAGTGCCTAGCCATCACGTTTCTTTTTCTTTTTTTTTCTCTTTAAGACAGGGTCTCGCTCTTGTCCAGGTCTCGCTCTGTTGTCCAGGTCTCGCTCTGTTGTCCAGGTTGGAGTGCAGTGGTGCCATCAGGGCTTCTGAGTAGCTAGGACTACAAGCGCACATCAGCACATTCTGCTGATTTTTAAATTTTTTTTGGTAGAGATGGGGGTCTTGCTATGTTGCCTAGGCTGGTCTTGAGTTCCTGGGCTCAAGCGATCCTCCTGCCTCAGCCTCCCAAAGTTGTGGGATTACAGGCATGAATCACCATGCTCAGCCCCGTCAGTATTTTTCTGTTTATTAGAGAATCTCAGGCGTTAGCACTGAAACTATTTTAATCCAAAAATTAATGCGTCATTTTTTTCCATCACACTTGCATTTCTTTCTGTGGGCTCCAGGTCAGTGAATGACATGCCCACCCACCCAGCTGCAGTTTGACTTACTACTTTTTATGAAGGTTATGCTTTGAGGGATTTTGTAAATTTTGCATTTGTAAAGGTCTTATGGGCTCTTTCTCCTGATTGTTAAATATCAGCCCAAGGCCAGGCGCGGTGACTCACCCCTGTAATCCTACCACTTTGGGAGGCCAAGGCAGGGGGATCACGAGGTCAGGAGTTTGAGACCAGCCTGGCCAATTTGGTGAAACCGTGTCTCTACTAAAAATACAGAAATTAGCCAGGTGTGGTGGCACACACCTGTAGTCCCAGCTACTCTGGAGGCTGAAGCAGGAGAGAATCACTTGAACTCAGGAGGCAGAGGTTGCAATGAGCCAAGATTGCGCCACTGCACTCCAGTCTGGGCGACAGAGTAAGATTCTGTCTCAAAAAATAAAAAATAAAATAAATTTTAAAAATCAACCCTAGTCACTGATCAGGAGAGATTTGGAGCTCACAGTTGTTTTTTAAATTATTTTGGTTTCTGCCCCGTTTTAAAAATTTATTAATTTCTGATTTTTCTACAATAAACATGTATTGATTAACTTTTTAAAAAGTGTTCTAGAGTGTTGTCCACATGTAAGGAATTGCTCTGTCTTCTCCACATCTGCATTTCTCAAAAGAATGATCTATACTCAGTTTTCATGTCCCGCCTCCTACTCAGTACAATGTCCTGAGCCAGCACCTGGGGGTTATCCCTGACATCACCTTTTCCCTCCCCTTCCTCATTCAATCCACCACATGTCTGCAATATAAAAATGCATTCGTTGGGCACTTGCTATGCACCAGGTTCAAAATCCTTTACACTTATTCATTCATATAACACAATCCACCTACTTTTAATTTCCACCACATCCACCCTAGGCCAAGGTAGGGACACCTTCCCTAAACAACTGCAAAGGCTTTCTCGTTTTGTTTTGTTTTGTTTTTTTGAGACGGAGTCTCACTCCGTTGCCCAGGCTGGACTGCAGTGGCACAATCTGCGCTCACTACAAGCTCTGCCTCCTGGGTTCTCGCCATTCTCCTGCCTCAGCTTTCTGAGTAGCTGGTACTACAGGTGCCTGCCACCATGCCGGCTAATTTTTTGTATTTTTAGTAGAGATGGGGTTTCACCGTGTTAGCCAGGATGGTCTCGATCTCCTGACCTTGTGATCCGCCCACCTCGGCCTCCCAAAGTGCTGGGATTACAGATGTGAGCCACCCTTTTTCTTTTTTTTTTGAGACGGAGTCTCACTCTGTATCCAGGCTCGAGTGCAGTGAGCTGCGACTCGCTCACTGCTCTGCCTCCATGGGATTCAAGCGCTAGTTCTACCGCATCAAGCCTCCCAAGTACGCTGCGCGAGTGCTTGAGATTACAGGTGCGGCCCAGCCCACGCCTGTTATTTTTTGTATTTAGAGTAGAGCGGACGCGGTTTCACCATGTTGCCAGGCTGGTCCTCAAAATCGTCCCCACCTCAGGTGATCCCACCTTCGCGGCCTCCCAAAGCTGGAGTTCACACGGCATGGCCACCACACCTGGCCAGAAAATTATTTTCTAATTCATTGAACAAATAAAAGGGGGAGACCAATGAGGATTTGAACGAAACGTCCCAAACGTGGTATATCTAGACTCGGGCGCGCGTTCTGGATACGAGATCTTGACTGCTCTCCATTAGAGAGCCGCACGATCCCTGCAGTTGTTGATTTTGCAGAATCGTGCGTCATCTATTATGGATCAGAAAAAAAAAGTGCACATTAACGAGTTTAATGCTATTCGTCCACTCTCCTTTTTCCGCTTTCTCGATATGCAGCCATATCCGGCGGTATTGCACCTTCTGGTCATGAATATGGCGCTACATGTGCCTCAGCAACGCGCGCAAAAACCTATTAAATTGCGCGAAAGTTACAATTTCCCTCTGTCCATGAGATAAGATCCTGAGACAAGGCTGTGCTGTGTTGGCTGTGTGTTTGGTTCTAAGAAATGTCTCACTCGGTTGCTCCGGTGCGATGCAGGGCAGTGGCCACATTCACAGCTCACTCGGCAGCCTCACCTCCTTGGCTCAGTCGATCCCTCCGGCCACCTCCCTGCCCCCAAGCGCCAGAGCGCTCGACGACGTCTTTTTTTTTTTTCTTTGAGACAGAGTCTTCCACTCTGTCACCCACGGCTGGAACGCAGTGGTGCGCACACTCTCAGCTCACTGCAACCTCCACCTCTCCGGGTTCATACGCAATCCTCCTGCAGTCAGGCCTCCACGAGTAGGCTGGGACTCACCGGGCGAGCATCCACCCTGCGGCGTGCCCAGGGCCCTACTCTTTTTTTTTTTTTTGTTTAATGAGGCGGAATGCGGGGCAGTGGCACCATTCAGCTGTGAACCTCCGCCTCATGGGTTCAAGCGATTCTCTGCTTCAGCCTCACAAGCAGCTGGGATTACAGGCATGTGCACAGGACACAGCTAATTTTGATTTTTAGTAAGACAGGTTTCAACTGGGTTGGGCCCATGGCTGAATCCCAACTCCTGACCTGCAGCGTGCGATCCAATGCGGTGGCGCGCGCTTGGCCTCCAAGTGTTGGGCATTGACAGGTATCGAGCCACTCGGCTGGTATTTGAATTTTTTGTAAGGTGAACCTCACTCTGTACCCAGGGCTGGTCTCTGATCCTGGGCTCAAGGCGATCCCTCCTGCCTCCAATTTCTAAGTAGTAGCTGGGACTACAGCTGCATCGCCACCATGCCTGGCCTGAGATAAAAAGGAATTTTTTGCTAGAGGACAGACTTGCTATGTGTTCCAGCGGCACGTGGCAGGGCAACCAACATAGGCTCCACCTGGTTGCTTGAACCTGCTTGGCCCTCAGTGATCCTCTGCCTCGTGGCCTCGCGCAACAGCAGTGGCGATTTGTAACGGCATCGTGCCACTCTGCCAGGCAATAGGATGAGCGGGAGATCATTTAACGACGCATTCCTCAGCTTCTCCTAAGTGGGAAATCTCACATAGCCAGCACGCGATGGGCTGGAGGTTGTCTCACGTTGTGGGCAGTTGTTTTTGTGTAGCCACGTAGGTAGCTGAGGACAACTTACAGGCCATTCATTAAACTAAAAAATTGCCTCACCGACCACAGGCCAGGCGGGGCTCCGCTTGCGCAGTCCCACTTTGAAATTCCGCGTCAGAGAATGCTGTCAAGCTCATCGCAGAAAGTGCAGCAAGCACAGTAACAGGTGTTGAAGCAGACGGGTGGGGTGCCGCCTAATGGGCGACAGGGCTCCACACGACCGTCACACCTCGCCCAGCAACGTTGGGGCTGAAGTGAGTGCATCTCAGCCCTGCGGGCTCTATGCACTATTGTACAGCCAGCGTTTGGCCAAACACATAGTAAAGACCCACTCTACCA